CTTCTGTATCCTTTTCCTCTAGTGATTCTGGTTGCCTGGTTGGTTATGTGCTCCTCTATACATCTTGACAACTGGTTTATTTACCTATCTCTTTGGAGTGTTTCATGAGCTTTCATCGGTCTGATCGTATCATCGAAAGTTTATGCTACCTCTTTATTCAAAAATTTCCAAGTGGGCTTCCGACTCTTCAGTTTCTTAGTTTACTGTGCCTGATGGTCTTATCGTAGGTTTGCACCGAAGTTTTATGTGATACTGGTTATTAATATTCCTCTATATACATGTAACATTACACTTGGCATAGATGCCTGAGCTCCTATTCGAGATGGTGTGACTTAAGGTTACAGATACACAAATCCAACTGATCATTAAGAGACAGTTTGCCATAATACAGATTAATTTTCAAATTTCATCATAGGTAGGATTTGAAGCTTAGACCTGCCACTTGGAAGATGACAACCCAACCACTATACTAGGATCAACATCTTCTATTTTTATTGATATTAATCAGGATCATTAATACATATAGATAAGCAAATAGATACAGAAACTAAAATGTTTAAATAAAAACTTATAAGCAAATTTTAAATATAACAATTAGTATAGAACTTTTGAGCAAATTACTTAAATTAGACAATAACTAAACTTGTATAAATAACTAGTTGTATACTCTTTTTATAGTTGTTTTTTATGCTTATAATATAATAATTAGCTAAATGTATTATTAATAAAATTCTGAATTGCAAATACTTGCACTTATATTAATATTTTAAAAAAAAAATAAATCTAAATAAAATAATTTAAATAATAGAAAATAATAAATAATATCTAAATTTTTTGTATTGTATATAATTATAAATAATAAAAATATAAAAATTTATATACTATAATCTTAAGTATAATAACTTAGTGAAGTAAATAAGTTGTTAACTTTTCAAATAGTAGGCTATGAGTTTAAAACCTATTGACAGTAAAAATTTAAATAATTACCTATATAATATATAAATGATATTATAAAAATAGCATTCTGTTAATTAGTTAAAATAAGATACCTGTAACTATAGTTGCATTAGTATAATCAACAGGTTAAAGAGCATTTGTATAACTAGTTATACAAAAGAATACAAATTAATAATAAGTAGTGCAAATCCAAAATATGTTCTTGTAACTGTATAAATTTGTAAAACTAAAATGTCAGAGCCTATTTAAAAAGATTTAAGTAGAAAGATAATATGGATCTTTGATAATATTATTGTAAAGTCTAGATTTAAAAAACAGATACTAATATGAAGAAATTGGATAGGCAAAAATTTTGAGTAAGAGGTGTTATTAATCATACTGCTAGAAGTCTTGAACCAAAGAAAAAAAATATTAAATATTGTAATCTTAGTATATTAGAATTAGGTTACAGTTTTTTTGATTTATTTGAATTGGAAGTCTGATGCTAAAAAATATCAAATATTATAACTCTAATATACTAAAGACAAGTCATAGTTCTTTTGATCTATCTAAATTAGAAGTCTGATGCCAAAAGCAAATATACTATAAGTACTAGAAATATACTATAAAATAGATACTGAAATTTAAGTAAACTTTGCAAAAACAAACCCTATTACAGTCAGGAATATTTCCATATATGGTATTTTCAAATATAGAAATGATCTGTGATGTACAATGCTATCGGGATTTTCTAGAATTAAAGAATTAAACTAAATCTGATTGGCTAAAAATTTTTTATAAATATGAAAAGCGAATAGATGAAGCGAAACTTTAAAATTTTTATAACAGTCATAACGGCTTAATTAATTACTGATTTGTGAATTACAATAGTTTAACTAGTATAATTTATATAAATTGCCAGTGAACATTTTGTATAGACATAAGAATAAAGGAAATATCAAAAAGTTAAGTATCGATCTTAATGTCTTGTATTAAACGATTTTTCTAAGACCTATTAATGTAAATTATTTTCTATTTTCTCTTCGCATCTTTTTCCTTTCTTTTTAAAAACTATTCTGAAAAGTATAAGTTTATAGGCTACTTCTAAAAATTTAGCTACAGAACGTTTCAAAAAAAAAAAAAACTTCAAAAAAATTTTTTCTAATTCTACTCAAATCTCTTTTAGAAATGAGAGGCAGTAATGTAAAAACTAGTTTGATCAAGTTTGAATAGCATCAAGTAATTCTTTCCAAAAAAAAAACTATCTTGAATACAGTCATGCTTGGGTTATATCACACTGTTATGCCTCTGTCATGCTTGAAGTTAGCATCTGCTTGAAGTTGTAACTTCAAGTGCCTGAAGTTGAAACTGTCCAAAATTACTAATACAGGCAAGGAAGGTCTAATTTCAGAGGTAGTTAGTATGCCTAAATTGGTAACTTCAAGCAGATGCCAACTTCAAGCATGACAGTCATACATCTAATATTATGGGGCTACAAAAAAAAAATATTATTAAAAACTTTGGAATATAGAAATTTCATCAAAATGAAGACAATTTACAAACATGCTATCAAGCAGTTCTGAAACCAGAGAAAATGGAGTATTATTTGAGTTTTAATATGCTAAAAGTATAGTTAATATAATCTTAATTTATTAAAATTAATATTTATTCATTTTTATTTTCTAGCTCTGTTTCGTTTTCAAGATCATTATAATTCTTGTGCAGGTCTATTTCATTTTCAAGATCATCTTGATTTTTGTATAGGTCTCTAATATTTTGTAAGATTTCTTGCAATTGGCTACAAGATTTTTGTTGCAAACCATGATACTTTGGATGATCAGAAAGATTGATGGAATTGAGTAATGAATCAATGATCGCTAAAAGCTCTTTTTTTGTCATATTTTTTTCATTTAGAGCTGCTGCTTCTTCGTGAGCAGTAATAGGTATAGGTCAGAGTAATGAATTTGGCTTATTGTTTTTAAAGGTCTCATTAATGAATATAATTCGTCTTTCATATGCCAAATCACTAAAATTTTTTAACTGTTCACTAAGTAGATGCTCCTCTTCAAGGCTTTTAAAAATGCGATTGTTATTTTGTGAATTTAAAAATCTAGTTTTACGCAAATGAACTCAGAATCGTTGTGATTCTAACATATAATCTGGATGTGACTGACAATCTAATAACTTATTATTTGTATACCCAATCATATTAAATAATGTGTGACGCAGCTAAATTTTATTTTAAAAATGTGTAAGTATAAGTTATATATTTTGTTACAATACAGATAGATATATTTTTTACTAACCTTTATGAACTTGGTACAATTATGTGCTGCTATTCTTCAATACTTCTGTGAAGGTATGGGTGGAATTAAGGCCTTTAAAGACTTATTGACTTCTTCAAGAATAGCATCAAGTCCTTGATGCTGATTGTAATATCCTGATCATAAAATAACTGAATATAATTCTATACATTGTTTAATTTCAGGATTTAATCACATCAATTGTTCTTCATAGGTTATTTCAAATAAACAATACATGGGATGTCTATGACTGGACCAAATTAGAGCAAACATACATTGTGCAGCACTTGTCAATAATGGTTAATTATTTCTAACATCTATGTAAAAATTAATGATTGCCTGCAGATAGGTAAATGTCTATAATAATTGTTAGTAAATTTTTTTGGATATATTTAATATCTTATAAAAAAAAATCTCAAAATCTTACTTGCTCAAATTTTAATTTATATATATAATCATTTTGTTTTTTGACCCAATCTAGATAGTCATCAACTGAGGGATTTTCTGTCGTAGTTATGTATAGTCATAGTAATTCACACATAATGGCATATCGGTAAATATTGCAAATAGAGTCCCATGATTTGTGATGATCAACACATTTTTTAAAAAAACTGAGTTGGTTTTCAGTTCTATATCCTTGGAGAATAGCAAATTGTTTTATGTTAATCATTCTTAAAAAAAGTAAGTTAAAATTTTAGATCAAATGGTATTATTTGTATTAATTTAATTATGAAAAATATTAATATCAGTTTAATTCTACGAATACCCTAAGCATGTTCATTTCTTCATGCAAGGGCCCAGGAATCAATATAAGCCACAGAAAGTCTTTTCGAATCTTTTGAGCTAGAGTATAAGGAACACTATCACAAGTAACAGGTAACCATTTTCACGCTTCATTTATTTCTGCGATATTTTTTATATTCTCTAAAACTTTTCTAACATTAATGATTGAATTAAAGTTAAATTCTAATGGATCTGGCACATATATTTTGGGAACAATAACACTATGTTCAGGATCTAAATGTTGTGTAATACTAATACGATCAAGTTGTTAGCTTTTTTGTTCTTGAGCATATGCGTAAGACTTTATTATGAGAGGTTTTGAGTAGGTTGGATTATTAACTTGAATATTTTCATTAGCAGACTCTGCTTGTAAAGCAGCCAACATGTCTAATTTTTTATTACATTGAGGACAGTTATATTTTTTATTATCTATGTTAGTTGTATTACATTTTTTGCACCACTTCGATTAACCTCTGATGCCTTTTTGATTTTTTATAACTGTATCAATAGTATTGATTTTCTTATTTTTTTTGATAACAAGCTCTTCTAAAATTGATGATAAGTATATTTTTAATTCTAGGTCATGCTCTGCTTGCATTTTAGGTAAAATATAATATAGTTTTTTATACTGGTCATTAGATATCAAATCACAAATCCATGGCACAATTGTAAATTGAGCATAATCATTTTTATTCATATTCAGTGCAATAAAACTTGTAACTATATGATAGATAACTGTATTATGTCCACGATTGAGATAATTAAATTGACTGTATTGCTCATTGTCAAAGGCTAAAAACAAAAGCCCTTTAGATAAGGATTTATTTTCGACTGCTAATGATTCCAACCAATTAATGAATTTCATATAACTTCCAGAACTAGTTATATAGTTATCGATGTCAATAATTGTCTTAGATCATGCTAGTGAATATTTGATCTCTGTTATAGCTAGATTTATTTCTAATACATAGTTTTTATGTCTCGATCTATATATAGTGTCGATAATAACTATTTTTTTAAAAATTTTTTCATTTGAAGAATAATTATTACAACTATTATTATTATTATATGTAAGAACATTAATAAAATTAACAATTACTAGGTTGTGATTAGCTAACCAATTATTGGGAATAAAATCTAATAAATTATTAAGAAAAAATTGTTACTTATTCAAAATTAATAATTCAATATTATCATAAACACTTTGGTGTTCTTGGTTCTCGATTAGAATAATGGAATCTTTTTTTTTTTTTTGACTATTATACTGATTTTCTCATTCAGATTTTAATACATTATTTTGTTCAGTTAGTTTTTTATTTACTTTATTTATTTCTTGGATATGATCCCAACTTTCTACTACATAATTGTATATATATTCTAACTGTTTTTTAAGATCCTTTATCTCATTTATTTTTGAATCTAGCTCTAATTAAAGTAAGCAAATACAATTTTCAAGAGTATGCAACATAGTATTAAATGCTTGGATGCTGACCTCATGGGTCTCTTTATTAACTTGTATACCAACCTCATTAGTTTGTGCACTAGCTTGTACACTAATTTCATATATAGTTTCATCATGAGTATACTGCGTATGGGCCTGCCTTTCAGCAAATTCATTATCAAAATCATTACTATTTTTTTTTATTTTTGATTATTTCTTAGATAATTGGGCAAATTTAACTTAAGAGCATTTGACGCAAAAAATCAGATACAATTAATTGGTTATAATGCTTTTCGCATAAAGAAAAATCTTTCAAATGTGTTTGAATTTGAACCAATTCTGGAAAAAAATTATTATACAATGGAAGATAATCTTTTGGTAAATTACTATCTGCATGCTGTTTTATCTGTGAGTTCTTAGTTTCACACTCTAATAAACTGATATTATTATATAAAGGAACCAAAGTAGCAAGGGCACAAGGTAAATCTTTTGCTCATGGTCATTGGGAAGCTTTCACTAATTAAAAAAAAACAAAACTTGAGATAAGCATCAACAGATTTTATCAGTGTTATTAATTTCTTATTCTATTAATAAAAATTATAATATATTCTAATTTCTATTGCCCTATTCTATTGTTTTATTTATTTATTGTTATATTAATATCTAATTATAATCTTAGCAATTTTTTATTCTATTGACAAAATTTTTATTCTATTCTAAATTCTATTACACTATTCTATTGTTTTACTGTTCTATCCATCTATTGCTACCAACACTGATTTTGATATAACAAAGGTAATAAAATAAATAAATTATTACATACTAGTCTGAATTATGTAATGTTCAAAAATTTGTATAGCAATGGTGAAAAAGGATCATATTCCCAAGTCGATATAGTAAATCACACAATACTAGTGATTATTAGAGATATATAATACCTAAATGATTATAATTAGTATTAATAATAGTATATCTTTCATATGAGATAAATAAAGTACTTACATATGATTTTTTTTTTCAATGTTAAAAATTCCTAATAGATCGCTGGACTAGTTCAGATGAAGTTCACAACAGAGCACCAAAATACTGTAGCACCAAAATATCAATATTGATTATAATATTAAGAGTAGGGGCACTGGGCCAATAACGCAACATAAAAACTAGTGCTAGGTGCTAACTCCCAAATGTACTTATGAATAAAAAAGAAAAAAAAAGTTTAATAATTTAAGAAAAACCTGTGTTTTGCTATAGTTATAAACTTTAAACCTAAATTGATTTTGGAGAAATGTTGACTGATTATAAAACTATTTGATTTAAACCTCCTAATTTTATAAGGCTTTATTATATTACAAGACAATTTTGCATAAATTTATCATGTGAAACCTGTGAAAATGTTTAAAAATTCAATAAGACTAGATGATCAATTTTCTAGATCATCATCTTTGTATAACTAATCATATTCTAGAATGATCTGCAATATATGCACTGAATATGGAAATATTCCTAACTGTATTAATAAGAACTAAATGTGAGTAAATAGTTAGCAAGAAGGCTCTCTAGAGTCTTACAGTTAGATAATATATTCTAAAATATATAACAGTTTAACAGATATATAAACAAAAAGATCAATATTAAGTTAAATAACACTTAGATATATAAGAATTTAGTATACTATTTGTTAGATGTAATATAGAAATCAAAGTCTTTAATTAAATACTCTCTTAGCAGATTACAGATATGACAGATAGTAGAGTGTGGTGACCTAGTGAAGTGGTCAGGTTGTCAACCCCCCAAGTGGTAGGTTGGGTGTTTAAATTCCATTAATGGCAAAAATTTGGATAATCAGTTATTTTTTTTTTTTTTTTAAATATTAAGGTGAGTACTTGCGACCTAGGATTTTATTGATAGTACATTCAGCTAATGGTT